TCTCTCTCTCCTCCTCCTCCTTTTCCTCTATCTGTTCATATGCCAGTGGAGGTCAAATGCGTGAGCAGCTCCCCGCCTGCCTCCCCTATCGTTCTTTATGGCTGATCCAGTGGCAGAGCTTTCATTACCCTGAATTATACGCTGCAATGATTACCTCTCCCCCCGGCCAATGCGGGACAGTCCTGGCCTTATCATCTTATCATCTTACCCAGGAGGAACGTAATGCAGGGAAAGCTCAATATATAGCACAACATCTGCCTCCAACATGACTCCACTGCGGATCTTTGAACTTTACATCCTCCCAGCCACAGACTGTGATGTATGTGGTGCACCAGTGAGATCACAGGGATTTTTTTGTGAAGAGTTATAATGAACTGCAGAGGCGTACTGTCTGATCAGACTATGGGTATTCTATGTAGATCTATATATATTCTGTAGGACTGATTTGACTTACTGATGCCTACATGACTGAAACTAATAAGTTATTTTCTCTGAAGCTAAAGCAGAAACACACCATGTCCTGTGAATAAAACTGCAGCTTCAGCAGGGTTATTTGTAGTCTTTTTTTCTTCCCATCTGGTTTTGATGTTTGAGGAAAACCCAGCAATAGCCTAAGCACAAAAAAACATGGTTACTAAACTAAATATTTACCCATTATTGCTGCTGATTTTTGATTTAATTGGTACAAATTATACCCTGAAATCACTTTCTGTGGTTGTTGCTCTTTTGCTCACCAACACATTCCACATGTTTATTACCATAACTGAGTTGCCACTGTGAAGTCTGATAATCCGAGAAATCAGCAGGGTGTTTAGATAGCAGCAAGCTTTGGCAGTCTGGATATATTGTACTTTTTCACAACTTGTTTCTGAGTGGGCACACTGAGAGAACCTGTGCCGTATCATGGTGTAACTATCAGTGCAGGCACAGAGGGGAGTAGCAGACAAGGACTGTGACACGCTGCAGAAAGCTTCATCAGCTCGGTTACAAATCAGAATTACATCTCTGGGAAGCTGTAAAAGTTTTACTAATGTCTTTCTTCTTATCATATGACACAAAAACTAATTAAACTAATTCTTCCTTCTTTCAGCGACACAAACTATTTTGTCTCACTTCCAGGGAATGAGGGGGATGAGATGACAAGTGAAAGTGAATTCAGTTGAAGGCCATAGAGCACAGATCATTCTCAGCCATCAGCTCTATCAGTCAGCACAATTACCAAACTTGTTGTGCTGTACCATGACCTGAGTGCAAGAACAGACTCAGTGGGGTAGTTGTTGATAGGATTTGGATGACATACACATATACAGACACACATATTACCACCCCCCAAGTGTGCTGCTATATCAGGCTGCCAGGCAGGGAGTCAGGGAGCAGTAACAGGGCTATTAGGACTCCCAGAGACCCTATCGATCTCCTCATTGATCCCCTCCTGCCTTAGCTAGTCCAGACAACTGGGAGGGTTTATACAGCTACTACAGGAAAGAGCAGCAAAGCACTACAGGTAAGAGCACATGTAACAGCAGAGGATGAACATGGTACTAGCAGTAAAAGAGCCACTTAGAGGACGAGACAAAAAGTCACAGAGAGTCTCAGTGGGAGTGAAACTGTGAAAAGTTTCAAACTTTCCTGCCTTCCTTCCATCGTTTATCTTCCTGCTTACCTTTTACTTCCCATTTTCCCTGAGTTTCTTTCCTCCATTATCAAGTTTGAAGACAAACATTTTCTTTCAACATATATTGCTCACATTTGAGAAATCTCTTTTACCTGTAATAGCATCTTCAAAATGATAAAATGACACCATAGCTTGAGAGTGAAGTGAATGGTTCGACAGTATAAAGATGTTATCCCACAATTGCAGCTGAGGAGATTTATAATCTGTGACAGTATGGGGAAAATTTTTAACCACAATCCCCAGTGTGATAGAGTATTGTGGTTATCAAAACCAGGAAGGTTGGAACTGTCACCCTGCCTCCAAACAGATGCACCCATTGGTCCTACTGTGGTATAAAGCAGTAATTGTTTTAAGGTATATATTTTAACTCCCTGCTCTTAAATTGTTTTTAACCAGTCAGTGCTGCAGGGCTCCTGCTCACTAGCCACTGGCAACAGTAACAGAAAAACGTGAAACACTGCCTCCAGTGGATGTGCAACGGTACTACTACTGCAAGTAACTATTGTATTTGCATAAACTGACCCTGTACATATTACAAAAACATCTAAACAATTCAAAAATTGATGTCTACTTACTTTGTTCTCAGATTTGGTGACCACATCACAAGTGAAGTTGTGTACTGCTGAGTGTGCAGTCTGACCATGATGTGTATTAATGACTGAGGCGATGGCAGGTTCTCATCAGACTCCTGCTGATTAATAACTGGCCCTTCACTCCTTTCCTCACAGCTAATGCTCTCTGTCTCTCTCTGTCTATAATTATCACTCAATAATGAG